GTACAACACTACAGCACAGATTATTTTTCTTACAGCTAGATACATAACAGAACACCAGGTACATGGTAAAGCGGCAAACTTAAGTTGTCTAAAAACCGGAAAGATGTTTTTCTTCGATCGATGGGGCCAGAGCTATTCACCAGCTAGCTAGCTGCTAAGGCCTAGGGTACTTCTGTCTGAAATTCAGTTCCAATGGTACAACATGTCAACGATGATAATTTAGGGTGATACGACTCTCTCGACGATGCTTCTGGCTGTTCCTTGATTTTGTGATTGCTTCTAGGTAGGTGTTGTGTAACAAGTCAACATGCACCACATGCATCATTGTGATGGTGCTGAGGTGAAGACGGCAGGCATCGATCTTCTTTTCCTGGCGTGCAGGTTTCTGGTGAACCCGCATTGTCTGTTGTTGATGCGGCCTTGCTCCTTGCATTCCGGACAGATTAAGGTAGCGCACTGCCCAGTCACCTTCTCCCCACGGACAATCTGATAAAGAGATGACAAAAAGAATATTGGCATAAGTCATACTAATATCATGAGATTGAGTGACTTGCAGAATGAGAAGTTGATATTATTGGGCCAATATACTAGTGGTGTAAAAAACGTTCTTATATTATGGGATGGAGGGAGTAGTATCGAGAGAGCTGGCGAGTTTAATTAGTTTGCAGATGGGAAGCCGGGTGGACTATTTATTACTGAGGACAAGAGAAAGTGGGGTAGAGTAGAGTTTTCACGTACAAATTTGCCGGACTCGAGGCTTTTGTAGATGATGAAGGTGTCTTGTGTCGCTAGATTATGGTGCTTTGTAAATTCTCCTGAGATTAAGACAATGCAATTCATCAGAAAACACATGTACATACTTACAAACGTTTGAAGTGTTTAGTTGACTCAGTCAGTGTTAAGACATACATACCAGTACTTTCCAAGACATACATTCTGCTCTTGTTGTTAGGCCAGTACCTGGGAAGTATCTCCCATCATCAGTGTGATATATAGTTATACATACATACAGTTGAACTAGTGAAATGAGGCAGATATTAACTCTCCAACGCTGCGAGACTATGATTTACGGAGTAGTCGCAGAGAAAATAATATATATTGCTCTGAACTAGTAATTACCTGAACTTAAAGTTCCATGTAACAGGAAGCCTCATGTCCTCCATCTTGAGTATCAGGCCATCCCTTTCAAGCAAAGCTGGAAGGTTAGCCTCGGCATCCCTCTGCAAAATTCAGTATATATATGTATATAGTGAGATTGCGAAGCAGCAAACAGATAGTAACTTTTATGCATGTTGATTAATTAGAGTAATATATGTATAGTGGGCAGCTAGCTAGCTACGTACGTACCTTTGGCAGTACAATTCTTCCAATATTTCCAACATCACTGTTGGTCAACTCCTTCCACACAACCATATGGTAGTCTTTACAGTTGAACCTCTGTAAATAGTTTTGCAGGATCAAATTCAAGTTAGTTCAGTGGGAATGCATCCACTTCGAACTGCAGCAACCTGATGATCTTATGTGTGGTTCAGCTTTGGATGCTTGAAAATTGCTTTGGCACCTTCTTCATTTTAATACAATACAATAAATTACAACAGCAGCATGTTTTGCTACTTGTCATAACTTACAACTCGATCGTAGGAACATCGATCAGGTTCCAGTTGTTTGCACAACAAGCTAGAGTCTAAATCTGGAACCAATTAGTGGTAAATTGATGGAATAATTTTCTAAGTATTATTAATCTATTGGAATATAAAGCAATCAATGCAGAATATATATATATATATATATATATATATATATGTATATATATATATATATATATATATATATAGCTTGTCTAGTTAACATAATGAAAAAAATCATGTACAGCAAAGAAGAGCATGCATATATAGTGAAGTAAATAGGACCTAGCTAGAAAGAAAGCATCATGCATGTTACTTACAGTAATGAAAATTTGCCGGCCCAGGTTGCTGAAGTTGTGATTCCCATCTAGCATCATGGCGTGATCTAGTCCACCACTGTTTTCACTTCCCATCTCAGGCGGGTCCTGGAAATTAATCTCACAGGCATGCATCGATCAGGTGTGTGCTAGCTCATGCTAATTAAACTTATATAAGCATATATAAATGATTTGCATGTTTCCTAGCTAGCTGTTGTTGTTACCTCTGAATTCTTCCTCTTCTGGGTGCGCCTCTTGGCCCTTCTGGCGTATCTGGACTCCTCGAATAATTGTGGAGGAGAGCGATTGTTTGGCACCGGAGATATTGGTTGAAAGCATTGAGCAGGTAGTAATGGTGGATCCACACTGAAGTTGGATACAAAGCCTGCAGCACGAGATCGATGTACAGAATGAATCAATGTGCAATAGTAGCATGAATGCAATTTAGATAGTCTGCAAAATAAATAAATTTTAGAAAATGTGTTTGCTTCGCAATCTATACCATCATAAAGCAAGCCCTTACAAAGTTGCTGGATTCAGCACAATGCTAAACTAAACAGTAGAAAAACTTGAATACCAAATAAATTCAACTATACATAACCCTTGCATATAATCAATCAAAGAGATTGAACCCAATGTTATCAGATTCGTAGAATTTATAAAACAGATCCACACAGCATGGATACCTGAATCTTAAACAGAAATTGAGAAAAAACTGCACAGACACATGTAATTAAATATATGTATACCTGAATTACCTTGCTGATGATTATTGTTGGCATTGTAGGTGATGGCTTGTTGGTGACCCTGCTGCTGCTGCTGCTGTATGCCATGAGGGTAAACACTGTAAGAGCTCGGCGGCGGCGGCATGAAGTTGTTGGGCCATGCAGTGGCGGAGCAGAGCCTGGAGCTCTGATGGTAGCCATTGTTGTTGCCGCTGTTGCTACCGCACGCGACAGACAGGATCGTGCTGTTGACGTTGTACATGGTCCAGTCCCCAAAACCCCCTGCTCCCATCGGGGCCTGCCGTGGCGCCGCGGCGACGCCGAGCTGGGGGGCGGGCGGCTGCCAGTGCTGGTAGTTGTGCGTCCCTGAAAATTATTAGCAAAGAAAAAACAGCATTAATCAAGGCCACAGTACACTAAACAACAAAAAACGCAAGGGAAAAGAAAAGGAAAGGAAGAACTAGCTAGCAGGTATGCCCTAATTAACAAGATGAAATGCGTGATTTAACACGCTACAAATGGAAAGTCCTGCCTGATCTAGTAAGTAGATTGTGCAGAATCTCGCTTCCTGCTGCAATCTTCCTCAGTGATCTGCTCCTCCCGGCCGGAGAGCGGCCAAGATTGCAGTCCTGGTGAAGAACAGAAAACCTAGAACGACATACGGATCTCGCGCACGCCCATGGCGGCGCGCGCAGCAGGGACACAGCGCGCGGATCCGGGCGCGTCAAAACCCTAAGCGAGTGGCCAGGAAGAAAGCCCTGGGATGGGAAGGGACAGATCACGGAGAAAACGATCGCGCCGGCGACGGCGACGACGGCGCACGGACGTACGAAGACGATGCAGAAAAGAAAGAAAAGACAAGATACTGACCGGTGGGCATCAGCAGGTTGGACTGGGCGCAGTGCGGCGGCGGCGGGGTCGGCGAGGGGGCCTGGACCTGGAGGGGCATTGGCTGCGGCGGCGCCTGGATCAGCGGGCCGGGCGGCCCGAACAGCTGCTCGAACTCCTGGTACTGGCGCTGCGCCAGAACGTTCGCCACGTCGCCGTGCACGCCGTGGCCGCCCACGGACGCGAGCAGCGCCTGGAACGACGCGTGCGGGCCGGCCCCCGGCACCGCCACGAAGTCGCCGGTCACGAACTCGCCGCCGGAGGAGTGCTGCGGCGACAGCGAGGAGGATCCGTTCGCGTCGGCCATGTCGTGCTCGCGCGAGGCAGCCAGCTAGCGCAGCCTCGTGCTCCGTGCGCTCTGGGTGTTTGCGTTCGGTTCGTTGTGGGCGTACACTGAAAGATAATGAGCGAGAGACGGTGGCCGGCCGTGGCTTTTGAAGAGGGGGGGGTATGCGGCGTGTGCTGCTCGCTAATTATTGAGAGATTGGGGGTGATTTTTTTGTAGGGGGAGCCATAATGGGAACATGGGAAACAAGGGAAATGGGGGTGTGGAAATGGAAATGTTGAGGGGTTTTGTGAGATGTGGGCAATTCAAACCTACCGAAATGGTGAAAACCAAGGTCTTGTGAAGCAATAACATGAGTAGGAGAAACCGAAGCACGCGAAGATTATCGGATAGTTCTCTAAATTTAAAGGATTATGGATTGACAGGTATCATGCGCCCACCGTTGAAGGAAGGCGAAGCGCGCAAAGTTTATCGGGTCTTTCTCTAAATCTAAAGAGTTGCGAATTGCCGGGTATCGTATGGCCACCGTTGAAGGAACGCGAAGCGCGCGAAGTTTATCGGATCGTTCTCTAAATCTAAAGAGTTACGAATTGTCGGGTATCGTACGACCACTGTTGAAGGAAGGCGAAGCGCGCGAAGTTTATCGGATCGTTCTCTAAATCTAAAGAGTTACGAATTGCCACGTATCGTACGGCCACCGTTGAAGGAAAGCGAAGCGCACGAAGTTTATCGGATCTTTCTCTAAATCTAAAGAGTTATGGAGGACCAGGTATCGTGCGGCCACTGTTGAAGGAAGGCAAAGTGCGCGAAGATTATCGGATCTTTCTCTAAATCTAAAGAGTTACGGAGGACCAGGTATCGTGCGGCCACCGTTGAAGGAAGGCAAAGCGCCCGAAGATTGTCGGATCTTTCTCTAAATCTAAAGAGTTATGAATTGCCAGGTATCGTGCCGCCACCGTTGAAGGAAGGCGAAGCGTGCGAAGATTATCGGATCTTTGTCTAAATCTAAAGAGTTACAGTACTAGGTATTGCGCACCTAAGGAATAGGGGGGTGTTGGCTCTTGCCTGGTCCTTCCCCCTCTCCTCGCCATTGTATCGCCGTAGTTTTGATGATGGGGTGATTGTGCGATTTTGTAGTTATACGTTTTTACGACAAAAAATTCTTTCCAATCTATAAGATCCGATTCGATTCGGTTTGATTGAATTCAATTTGATGGGTAGCCACACCCTCACTGGCGCCAACTGGTGAACCCGGATTGTGCGCTTTGATTCGTAGCCCGAATGTTAGGAAAGAAATTGCCGCTACCCCTTGAACGTGATAATTGGCGTGAAATGTGGGCCTTTCTATGACTCGCAAAGGTGTCACATGAATATGTCGTGTTTCGGTCGTCAAATCTGATTCTGGTGACCGTCTCTATACGAGGAAATTTCAAAGTGCTTCAAAAAGTAGGCAGGGGTTTTATCTTGAAAGCTCTTGTGAACCAATAATGTTATTGCTAACATTGTTGATCTTTTTCTGAAATCTAAATAGTTATGTATTTGGTATTGTGCTGCCAATGCAGAGGGACAAGGGTTGCGGCCTCTCACCGATCCCTCTTCCCTCTCCCCACCATTGCACGGCCACTTTGTTGATGAAGTAGTGACTGCGTGATTTTTCAAAATTATATGTTTTATAATGAAGGAGATCACGCCATTCGATTCGTCGGTAAGGATGGATCTGTGCGCACTCGTGAAGGTAGTCGTGCGCCCACTGGGCACCAACTATCGAACTTTGATTGTGAGCTTTGATTTGTAGGTCGGAATGTTAGAAAAGAAATTGTGGGTACCCCTAGCAGAGTAATTGGCATACCATGTGGCCCTTGCTATCAGGGGCGGGAGTAGGACTGGGCCAGGCCCCGGACCGGCTTCACTATACTGTAGCTACATGGCATTGGACAGTGCTTCTGTAAGCATGTGTGCAACCATCACGCCCCGGGCCGCCAGCTATCGGCCTATGATTGTGAGATTTAATGGGTCGGAATGTTAAGAAAGAAATTGTCGGTACCCCCTAGCGTGATAATTGACCCTTGCTATCAGGGGCGGAGGTAGGATTGGGCCAGGCCCCGGACCAGCTTCACTATACTGTACTGCAGGGCATTGAACAGTGCTTCCGAAAGCCCGTGAGGCCGTCGCGTCCCGGGCCGCCGACTATCGAACTCTGATTGTGAGCTTTAGTTCGTAGGCTGGAATGTTAGGAAAGAAACTTTCGGTACCCCCTAGCATGATAATTGGCGTGACATGTGGCCCTTGCTATCAGAGGTGGATGTAGGATTTGGGCCAGGTTTCGGACCGGCTTCACTATATTGTAGCTACAAGGCATTGACCAGCGCTTCCAATAGCCTATAAGGTTGTCATGCTCCGGGCCGCTAGCTATCGAACTCTAATTGTGAACTTTAATTCGTAGGCTCAAATGTAAGGGAAGAAATTTTCGGTACCCCGTAGCGTGATAATTGGCGTTACATGTGGCCCTTGTTATCGGAGGTGGAGGTTTGATTGGGCCAAGGCTCAAACCAGCTTCACTATGTTGTAGCTATTTGGTATTGAACTATGATGCTGAAAGCTTACTTGATGCCTTGGCCCAAGGCCGCCAGTTATCGTACTCTGATTGTGAGCTTTAATTTGTAGGTCAGAAAGTTGAGAAAGAAATTGTCGGTACCCCCTAGCTTGATAATTGGCCCTTGCTATCTGGGGCGGAGGTAGGATTGTGCCGGGGCCCAGACTAGCTTCACTATACTGTAGCTACAGAGCATTGAACAATGCTTCCGAAAGCCCGTGAAGCCGTCGCGCCCTGGGCTGCCAACTATCGAACTATGATTGTGAGCTTTAATTATTCGTAGTCAGGAATGTCAGGAAAGAATTTTTCGGTACCCCCTAGCGTGATAATTGGCACGATATGCGGCCCTTGTTATCAGGGGTGGAGGTAGGATTGGGCCAGGCCCTGGACCGGCTTCACCATGCTGTAACTATATGGCGTTGAATGGCTCTTCTGAAAGCCTGCGCGTGGCATCACACCCCAGGCCATGACCCGATGTGCCTAGGGCTTCTCTTCGCCCTTGCTTGCTATAATCCGATAATGTGTCGCATGAATATGCCATGTATCGGCCGCCGAATAAGATTGTGATGACATTTCTATCCAAGGATAATACCCTCCCACTTCATAATTTTGGATGTTTTTTTTATCTCAAAGGTTTAGTTGATGGTAAGTTTGTATCAAACAGTAATGTTTGTAGGGAACATCACTGATCATTTCTAGAACTCGAAGAGTTAGTATTAGATAGTGTGCGGATATTTTGAAAAAAGAGGGGGGGGGGATTGTCAGCCCCCCCCCCCTCACTCCACCATTGTGCGCCATTGTCTTTGGTGTAAAGCTTGCGAGGTTTTCTTATTATTATTTTTATGGTGAAAACGATTCTTATTTTGTATTCCAAAAACTTGTGCGTGCGATGGACTCATGGGCATCCATAGAGTCAACTTCATAGGCATTGGCGTCGTATAAACGAGTCTTTATTGTGTGCGCGAGAGGTACTGTCGCCACCCTCGAGATGATAATTGGAATGCCAACATGTGTTTTCACGTGTGCGGCGTGAATATGTCGGTTGAATGACGAATTCTATATTTGTGGCATCTCTATTCAAAAAAATTACCATCTACTTAAAAGGAAATAAGGGAGTTTCTACCCCAAATGGTATATCTTCCCAACTGCCCCCTATGTTGTATCAATGGTTCCATCTTAATATACTAATTTTATTAGGACTCATGAGCATATGGTTTTATAGGGAGTCATATTCACATACTTATTTTACATAGGGACATATATGCACGTATCCCACAAAATAAAACTATCAATGCACGCTATTTAAAAGTCACCTCGTTTGTTGTGCCGCGGATCCCACTCATGATAAGCCCATGACTCAGCCGGCGTGACAAGTGTCCCCTCAGCCCAGGTCCCATGACACCTGTCCACCGCCGCGCGCCACCCTCATGACATGTGGTCCCCGCCTCGCGCCGCCCGCGTGACATGTGGTCCCCACGGCCCCAGGTCCCATGACACCTGTCCACCGCCGCGCGCCGCCCCTCATGACATGTGGCCCCCGCCGCGTGCCGGCCGCGTGAGGTGTGGCCCCCGCCGCGCGCCGGACGCGTGAGGTGTGGTCCCCACAGCGCCTCCTCCAGCAGTAGCCCCACCCACCGCAGTGGAAACGCTCCATGAGGCCATACACGCTCCCTCTTTTGTTCTCTTCTTTGGTGCCGGGCCAAGCTTTGGCGTTCAATCTCTAGTGATTAATTGCGCAAAGGCTGCCAAAGATAGAGCTTATCAGTAGATGGATGGAAGCTTCGTCGCTAAGCCCAGAGATGCCCGTTTCCACTTTATCGTCGTGCATATTAAATCAGTACAGCTGCGGTGACGCGTCGATCGAACCAACCGTGAAATTTGAAATTTTGCCCGCAAAGAGTTCGAAATGAGAACGATCGAGATAATGTTCCTGGACAAATCTTTGTTGATCCCCTGTTACGCAGATACAACAGAGTTTTTTTTTTAACATAGTACAGACGCAGACGCGATAATCTCTGTAATAACCAATTCATACATTGCTAAGTGACACTGCTAAGAACCCTCAGAAAAAAAGTAACACTGCTAAGTATCTCCTCCCCTGTGCCTGCATCACACAGACCACTCACAGAAACACACCCAGTACCAATTCATCCAACCCGAAGGCGAACATCAAACAAACGACCACGACGACGAAACACGACACGATTACATATAATCCGCAACGTCCACAACACCATCTGTAATGTACAAGAGTTTATCATTATTCCTTTATTCAGACAATAACAGAGGATTTCACTGCAAGGACGGGCAACATGGAGAAGGTTCTGAGTTGGTCTGTCAGGAAGCCCAGCAGCATCGCTTAACAACGTCTATTTTGCAGCGCGGGGCCATCACCGGGACGGCGGGGGCGGCATCGGGTACATCGGAGCGCGGGGCACCACGGTCCCTGGGACCGGGGCGTGCATGGCGTACCCCATGTGAGGCGGAGCGGCGACAGGGAGCGTGACCGGGGTGCCGACGGCGGACACGAGGGGGCCACCAACCGGCTGCCCGATCGTGGTGCCGAAGGCGTCCACGCCTGGGGGCAGGTTCCCTGGCTGGTGCGGAGATTGCTTGGGGGACTTGCCGGGGACTGCGGCCTGCCCATTTGTGCCTGTGATTGGGCCCTGAGCGGCTGATGCCTCTCCGTTCACGCTGGTGATGTCGTGTATGCTTGATCGCCGCCTCTCCCTGTTCATCGAATTGAGGCGGATGAAGTACTTCTGCGCGTGACTGGCGACCTGAGTGGGCGTCCTTGAGATGACGAAGTTCCTTGAGATGCTCCTCCAGTCACCTTTGCCATACTTTTCAAGTCCAAGAAGGAACAGCCTGCAGGTTCGGAATCAGGTCATAGCATAGATCAGTGGCTGGTAAAGATAACCCTGGAGGAGGCAGTATCCATCAGTTTGCAACCGCACACTTCTCCTTAAATATTTAAATGCTGTCAGTACTGAAATTAGCTTCTCGAGTTAATTATGAATAACATTACCTATTCAGCCACTGAAATGATCACAACCACTGATCATCTACTTTGGAATTTCACAAGAACGACAAATGACAGAAATATGTGGACTACTTCTAATGGTACATATAGCACATGCCCAAACAAACATGTGCTTTCAGGGTTGAAACTTCAACACAGAACACTGAATAATTCATTTGCCCAAAAGGTGCTATATATACACCAACTGATGAGAAACCATATGTAGAATTTATAGAAGCAAGGAGCAGAACTTCTAAAAGAAGCACACCATTACGTAGTGCTACAGAAAATGTGAAATGCTTGATGATGTACTTGAATTCACATTTAGAAGGAAAGAAATGTACTCCCTCCATCCCATAATGTAAGACGTTTTTTGACACTACACAAGTGTCAAAAAACATCTTACATTATGGGACAGAGGGAGTACTGTACAAGGTTCCATATCTGAAATATATTGACTCAACTAAATGGAAGTTGAGTTTTACTTGCCACAATAAGTTCAATTTCTAACATTTTAGTATATTTAGGATAGCAAACTAGCATGAGAAAATGTACTAAAATCAGTCAACCCAGACAATGAAAATAAATGTGTGAAGAAATAGTCCAAAGGGTTCCTTCACTTAAACAATTAAATCTGTTTAGTGCCTAGAACACATTTGAAAAACCCTTTTTCCATGAGTAACCACAGTTCTGAGTTTCTGACATCTGAGTAAAGATTTTTCATGCACAAGGTAACATGTGACAAACTAAAGTTGTTAGTCCAACAAAATGTCAGAACATACACAATGTACAGCTCAAGGATGCAACTCCAACAGCCACGCATTTAACCAATGTTCAGAAGCAGTTCACTACTCAAGGATTGCATAATCATAAACAGATTGCATGCCAAATACAATAGTTATAGATACTGCCAAACTAACAAAACAACAACAGCTCCGTTACATAAACTCCAGCTGAAAACAATCATGCAATAGAGGCCCTGAATCTACGAACAACCACGCAAGACGTGAACTAATCTACAAAATACGACAAACCTACACGCACCCACTCTCCAATAGAAAGCAGCAGGAGGAGGACATCTTAAGAGCAAATTTTCAAAACACTCAGGGCATTACGACAACTACACGAGTGGATCAGCAGAATCGCCAGTCAAATAGTAGTGACATTTTAGCTCCTAGGCGACCCAATCAATCAAACTTCTAAGTATAACTCAAAATTATTCGATGAACAGATCTAAAGTAAAAAAAAAAGTGGAGCAAACATGTGCTCGCTCCTCCGCAGACAATAAAACAAAGGCTGGAGGCACGAACCTGTGCTCATCCTCGGTCCAGAGGATCCCCTTCCGGCCCTCCTGCTTGACAGACTTGGATGACCCCTTCTGCCCATGCCCTCCCCGTCCTCCTCCTACCCTGCCGCCGCCCTTCTTCCCGCCGGAGCCTCCCTCCTCAGGACTCCCGCCGTCAGTGTACACAGGCAGCGGCACCCGGCCCGCCTCGATGGCGTCCACATCCGCCACCAACAGCTCATAGTGCCGCTTGATCTCCTCGGCTGTCTTCCCCCCAACAGCATCGGCTATCTTGTTCCACACTGCCTCACCCTCCCCAAGATCCACCAACACCAGTGCATTCTCAAACGCCTTGTTCTGCTCCCACGTCCACCCTCCGGGCCCGGACCCGGATCCGGACCCCTTCTTCACCTCAACGACGCCAGCCATGTTGTTCCACACGGCCTCCCCCTCCTGCAGATCCACCAACGGCAGCGCATTCTCAAACACCATGTCCTGCTCCCACATCCACCCTCCTGACCCGAACCCGAACCCCCCCTCAGTCACCATGGCCGACATGTTCCCCGGCCCCGAAGAAGAAAGAGAGAAAAAACTAGATAGCTCTACAGGATTCGCCGGGCGGCAATAGGGGTCAGAGGTTCCGCAGGATTGCGGCGGTGAGATATGGGTGAAGGAGAGGGGGGAGTGGGCCTGGAATTGCTGCAGATTTAGGCTAATAAATTGGTGTGTTTCGATAAGAGAGAGAGAGAGAGGGCAGGGGAGCGGAGGAGCAGCTTTACGGGTGCCAGCAGGACAAACTATGACAAAAACTTCAAACCTACATGGATCCATTCTCAAATGGAAAGCAGCGGCGGCGGCAGCAGCACATTTAAAGAACAGATTTCCAAAATATATTCAGCACATTTAAAGAGCAAATATCCAAAGTAGATATCTCTACAGGATTCGGTGGGCGGCAATAGGGGGTCAGAGCTTCCTCAGGACTGCGGCAGATAGATATGGGAGGAGAGGGGGGAGGGGGCTGGAATTGATGCAGGTTTAGGGTAATAAATTGGGGGCTTTTGATAAGAGAGGCGGGGGAGCAGAGGAGCAGATTTACAGGAGCCAGCAGGATAAACTACGACAAACCGTCAAACTTACAGGCGTCCTGTCGCAAATGGAAAGCAGCAGCAGCACATTTAAAGAGCAAATTTCTAAAATACGCAGCACATTACGACAATTAAGTGGGTCAGCAGAATCGCCAATCAAATACCAGCAGTGATGTTTTAGCTCCTACCCAACACAACCCACCAATCGATCAAACATCTAAGCAGTACCGCTCAAAATCGCTCGACGAACGGATTTAAGGTGAGACAATGGAGCGCAAAATGTGCTCGCTTCGCTGTGCAGACACTAAAGTTGCTTGCAGAGCATAGCCCTAATTTCCAAATACGCACAAGGCCGCAAAAGGGAGCTCTACTGACGTACTCACACCACAGTAGAATGAGAGCAGGTAAGAAGCTCTCTAAGACTAGTACCCTGAGAGCAAGCATCAGACTTCCAGCATGCTCCCTAATATCATAGGAACATTACACGGATCAGATTCTCTAACAAAACAGTCAATTCAGCAATCAATCAATCAATCACACGAATTAATCCTCCATCCAGAGCAGCCAGCAACTCAATTATTCGGTCAACGGGAGGAAAACGAAGGAAGGCAGGAGCGAACCTGTGCTCGTCCTCGGTCCAGGCGATCCCCTTGCGGCGCTCCTGCTCGGCAGACTTGGACGAGCCCTTCTCCCCGTGGCCGCCCCCTCCTCCGCCGCTCTTCTTCCCGCCCCCGCCGCTGCCCCCAGCCCCGCCGCCGGAGCCCCCCTCGTCGCCGTCGCCGGCGTAGACGAGCAGCGGCACGCGGCCGGCCTCGATGCCGTCCACGTCCTCCACGAGCAGCTCGTAGTGCCGCCGGACCTCCTCGGGCGTCTTGCCCTCGACGGCGTCGGCTATCTTGTCCCACATGGCCTCCCCCTCCTCCTCATCCACCGTGGCCAGCGCGTTCTCGAACGCCTTCTCCTGCTCCCGCGTCCACCCGCCGGCCCCGGCACCGGACCCCTCCTCGCCGCCCCCGCCGCCGCTGCTGCTCGCCTCCTCCGCCGCCATGGCCGGCCGCGGACCTGTTCCCCGGACGAAAGAAGAGGAAAAAAGCAACCTTGGCAGCGCTCCGCGGGGCTCGCGGGGCGGCGGCGGGGGTCAGTCGGCCGGACGGATTGCGGCGGCGGGATAAGGAGCGGGGGACGGGGGGAGGAAGAGGCGGATTTGGTGTCGCTGCGGGCTCGTGGGGAATAAATCGGGGGTTTCGCGAAAAGGGAGAAGGGGAGGAGGCGGAGGAAGGAGGGAGATCTACCGCCGCCGCCGGAGGAGGATTTGTTACCGCGGGGC